CTGCTTTCCCAGAGGGTGTTATGCATGGCTTGTAGTTCATCTGGACAACTCTGTGGTTCACAGCTCTGTCAGCTGCTGTGCTCTTCCCATGGGACTCTTGAGCTTTGCCAGTTATGCTGGTGACAGCAGACCATTGCTCCATGCAGAGTCCAACACCCAGGCACACACAGGCAGAGGCGAAAAAGTAACCAGGAGAATTTGGGAGGGAAGTGTGTGAGCTTCCCTCACCCTAATGAACAGGGAGCGATTGAACTCCTTTCAGCTGGGCTTGGTACTACATTGAGAACAGATGTTTCTCCTCAGTTCCAGTGGCCTCCATAATCCCTTCCACACTTGCTTGATTCCTTTTGAGACTAAAGCTATCAGACACTTAAGCAAACAGACATTATTTTCTTTTGGTGTTTGAGTGGATTTTTATTTTTCCAAATCTGTGGGTTTAAGCTGCTCTGGGGAAAGGAGAGAACAGGTAACAAACAAAACTTAAGTTCAGTCTTTTCTTCATGTTTATTTTTTTCTGATGCCTGCTTTTCTTTTGCTGACAATACCATTGTTTTGAGATAAAAACAGCACCATTATCCAACTAAAAGATCAGCAGACACCCTTGTTCCTTGTAGGGTGCTACACTGCAAGCATCTTTGTATTGTCAGCCTGCTGATCTTGCAAGTTGTTCATCTGAACTAAGATGTGCAAGGAGGGAGATGCTAATGCTACCGTGCACACTGGTGGTGCTTGTCTGACTAACAAGTGATGTAATTCACTACATTTCTTGGATTTCTTCTCTTCCCGTACGCTGGCACCAGCCTGCCTTATTCTAATTTTGACAACATATGCAGCTAGATGTGCTTTTCTTCCTTAGTTTAGACTTCGAGCTTTGCATGCCTTTCTGCCCAAAATTTCTCTTCTTGTGGCATGTATTCTCAACTACATCCACATGTTGGACATTGCTAGCTGAATAAAAACTGTAGCAACTATAGAGTTATCCAGAATAAAAAATACTAGAATTTGCCAAGAAATGGTATTACACTGACTTATGGTCCTTTCTAAAATTTCAAGACAACTCTCTAGCCCTGTATGAGTGACAGATCAGATTCCTTTCATAGGTTCGCTACTTGTGCACTCTATTAAATAGAACTTCCCTGGTTATTATGACCATACTACACTGGAAAACATTCGCAATAAGATTTCAAAGTTACTTCTTAGAAACACTTTGAAGAAGGAAACTTTAGAAACTTTTAAGGTATCAGAACCTGTTGTTAGACACAAAGCCACTTTTTGTCTTGCCTAGTTTTGAGTAATATGCCTTTCTTGTAGATGCCACTAACATCTCTTCCACAACATTTCATTTCTTTGCTGTTGTCTTTCTATTTTGATTAATCATTTCAGGATTGCTTTTATTAAATTTAGTAACCGCTGATGATCACCACACAGTTCAAAACACCAGAACCACAGCAATGTTCAATTCAGTGACCTGTCCTCACTTCTTCCATACAACACCCCAATTCTTAGCCTTGTATAAATATTACTCCATTGATTCAGTTTTCAAGGCCAAGCCTATAAAATATGAACATTCAACACAATGCTATTGTTCTTGATAGCAGCTTGATTTCAGTGTGCTGAGACTGTCAGCTCCCAGAGTAAACATGAGTAAACATTACTGCTATTTTATTCCCCAGAACCCCTCTATATTTAAACAGATATTTGCTGATTGCCTTTTCTGAGACGGTAAGATTTTGGAACATGAAGTGCACCACTAAAGTTTGTCTCAGGAATAGGAAGATTAGGTGCTACAATAACACTAATATTTCCTAGTAATTGCTGTCATGGTATTTTTATATGCATACATATTTCTGGCATTTTTGGTTTGCACTTCTCTTATAAATTAAACAAACAAACAAACAAAAAAAAAAAGGTAAAAACAAGGCTGGGGAAAACAACAGACTAAACAATGAGGAGTTTCACCATCTTGAGTGAGGACTTAGAGATCAACCTGAGTCACACTACTAAACAGTCAGAGCAGCATACTCAAAATCAGGAACACTGTTTTCATATTAAAATTCGAATTATTTTTCCAGTATTACTTTTAAAAAGTGTAATTCAGTTTTAATTTTAGAAGTTGTCTAAAATTTTTTTGAAGTGTAATCTGTATTTTTCTAGAATCTTTCAAAAATATGCTTTATGACTAGTAATTTCTGTTTTGACTAATTCTGTTTGCCAAAAAATGTCTTGATAAAAAATTCCTAAACCAGCTCAAGTAACAAGTTATTTTTCAAAACATGCTTTTGTCTTCCTGACAGCATCCTCCAACTGGTAGTAGGAATTCTTAAAATTAACAGAAGGTGTATGCGGAGGAGGTGGGAAGTTTGGAAAGAGTGTTCCAAATGCCAGATCTATCATCTGTATTATTAATATGCCAGATCTAGTGCACATGAAGATGCATTTCTGTGCAATGAATACCCCTCATGATATATGATTCCCGAGGTTGTGCTGAAAATGTGATGAGGTGTCCATTTAAGACAGAAGGAATGTCCTGAGTAAGGAGCAAAACAGGATCCTGAACTGCAGCAGCCCCATGCAGGGGAGGGAAGCACCTATTTACTACACTTTTAATGAGTTGCAGTGTGAAGTTAAAAATAAAAACAGCAAGAAGAAGAATGCATCTTCAAGGAGTGAAAAGACAGCAAATGTGTCAGCTCAGGAAGCTCCAAGGCCAGGAGAGCTCTAGAAGATAGGCTGTCTCTCTTTGCTTCTCCCTAAATAAATCCACTCAGGCCACACATAATGGCTGAGTTGGAGTCTGGGCTTCCATGAGGAAGATACATCAAAAGAAATCCTGAAAAGTTAGGAAGAGAGACTGATGTCAGATATAAGTGCAAAGTATTTTTCTTTTGCAACTTTTTTTCCATGTTTTATAATCAAAGAAATAAATACTGCATGATTGGAAGGTTACCCCCCAAAAGTGTTGCAGGTGAACAAAATAAAACCCCAATAAATATGGATATTTAGCATCCATTTTGCAGCAGATATGCACAGCTCAGCTTGGGGATTGGCAGTGGTGTATCAGGGCAGACAGGGAAAGCCTCAGATAATGCACTGATATGCCTCCAGCAGCAGACAGAAGGTGGAACATATTGTGTATGTTTCATCAACCACATATTGTGACTATCTCCTTGGCTCTCCTTTTTTGATCTACACCTTTAGGATCTCATGAACACATAAGTGTGAGAAAATTAGCGTATTGTCATCATCCCTAGAGCCAGTCAACAGCTTTCCTTGTTAGTTGCCCAGAAAAATGCCTGGAAGAGCTGAAAGAAGTGGTGGCAGTTGAGGAAATTTTTACACAGCAGTGAAATAGGAATATATCTCACCTAATGCCTTCTGTGTCACTCCCTTTCTTCTGCAGGCCTTTCTGCTTCCATCTGATGCCCTATAACTGGGCCCTTGCCATCACACCACTATTACCAAAGTGAGAGGCTGGTGGGAATGATTTAATCTGATCTACCCAAAAAGGTACCCCAGGTATTTTTCCTGGATGACATGAGGCAAAAAAACAGGACACCAAAGGCAGAACTTATCAATCACTTCACTAGGAACACCACTATACTCCAAAACACCTATTAACTATCAGAAAACCATCCCATGTGAAAACACACTCCTCTACCTCACCTACTCAGAGAACTCTCATCCTGGCATCTCTTGCATCTTCCCCTTCAGTTTTGTTTACATCCTCTGAGATTTGCATTCCTTCTTTAGCCCATGCAAAGCAAGAGATATTCCTAGCATCCGTGTGTGCATTGCCATGGTTACCTAGTTCATCTGCAGCAAAATGGGTTGGTCCATGACCTGACACCACAGCTCCAGGAACACATTCCTCCCTTGTCCATCGCTTCTCAACCTCTCCGGCTGCAGCTGTTCTTTTGCAAAATCTCAAGGCAAGCAATAGTGGGGTACCCAACACAAATTCTCCCAAAGTCTTTAGCAAGATTTTTCCCTATACAGTGTCTCTAAGTGTGTTTTTTGGCAGGCCCAGTCTTTGAAAAATTCCAGACAATTTTTCCAGCAAGCCGTCATCAATAGCACACCTGTACGTTTGACCTGCTGCATTTTATTTGAGGGCGCAGTCTTTACTTGAAAATTTAGACTTGGAAACTTAGCCTCAAAAGCATGCTTATGAGAGGACTTGTGACCACACAGCCAAGTCTGTCAGGGAAGAACAAAGGTTTGGGGCACAACAGTAAGAACCAAGAAATCTTAAACAAGGGTCTCAGCTAGATGTGGGAAAAACAGCTCCCTCCTAGAAGAGCAGTTTGGGTTACTTTGGTGTCACAAATTTTACAGTACAAATTTAATTAACTGGGACCTACTGAGATATTAGCAAACCAGACATCACTCCTAAGTAAGTACTCAATATCAAATGAGGTATAAACAACAAAATATTGATAAAATAGAATGAAAACAAATTTCAATCCAGGCAGAAGGCATATGTATTCCCACAACTGGATCAAATTTTCACAGAAACAAAGCTTCTTAACTTCATTTTTTAAGCAAAATCACTCTCAAAGGTTTTTTCTCCAGGCAATATTTTTAACAAAATAGATACATAAACTGTTCTGAAGAATCCTTGCTCACACCATTCATCTCTTCCCATAATTAATGTTTCTAATATTCATATCAAATTTGACCTATTTAAATAAACTTAAAGCAATGATGTAATGTCTGGAAATGGTACACTAAATATGTATACCACACAATTTCAAGGCAAACACAGGCCTATCTTATGATGATTCTGAAAACACAAATACCAATAAATTTCTGTAAGGAAACCAAAAGCTGGTAAAGTTCAAAATGGCTTTGTAGTTACATAGTTATGTAAAATAAAGTGAAATTCTCCAGATTTTACTTAGCATGGCTGAAATAGAGTGGGTAATTTGTCTGCATCTCAACTGCAAAAAAACCCCAGTCAAATGAAAAATCACCACCAAAATGATGACTTGTACACCTACCTTTTCCATTTATTGTTAATGCTGACGGAATTGTGGCTGTTACTGGCACTGGCAATTGTGGCACTAATGGATGTATCCTTGGTCGGCTCCCCATCCTAGCACGCTCTGCACCAGGGCCTAACAAAGCTCCCACAGGCTTTTCTGCTGCTACTTCTGGTGCTACAGAGTCATCTTGATCTTGCTCTATATGGTCCATTTTATCTGGGCTTTCATTCTGGAAGCCATCAACTGTTGTCCGGCTCTTAATTGGACTTTTGGGCACAAGGATTTTAATACCTGATTTTGCAAGGTCCATATTTTTACGTCCAGAAAGAGATGGTGAATTGTTTTTCCGGAACTTCTGTGTGGCAGAAAAAAGTTGACTATTTTTTGACTCGTGTTCTTTAGCCATAACTAAAGATTTAGAAGACGTCTTTGAAAAAGAACTATTGGTAGACCTAGAAATTTGTTTTCTGGCATTATTTGGAGAGGTCCTGTTTGTCCTGGTTAATGTGCTTTCTTTCTGCTTTTCATTGTGGCGTCTGTTAAATTCATGTATATATTCCTCACAATTGACAAGGTGCTGTTCTGGCTCCCAAGTATCATCTTCGCTGTTGTAGCCTTTCCATCGCACCAAATACTCTGTTTTTCCTTTCTTGTTTTTCCTCTTGTCAACAATTCTCTCTACCTGTTACAAAGCAAAAATAAGCATTAGTTATGGGGAGATATACAACTCATGAAAGTGACCTGCATATAAATAATTTGTTAAGTGTAGACAGATTATAAAATAGTCTTGTAGTTTTGCAATCTGTACTGTAGTTCTATAGTATTACAGTCTTTCACTGCTGACTGGAAAGCCCTCACATTAAACTTTAGATTATTACTTTTATCTCAAAAACATGTTCTAGAATGCCAAAATTGTTCTTCACTAAGTATTTTGCACAAGAATCTGAATACGACATTAAAATTGATAGCACAAGAGAAGCTCTTGCACCAGCTTCAATGTGGACATGATTTCCCTCTCTCAATATTAAAGTCATGTTTAAATATGCTGTATAAATACAGGGTGTTTACCTTATGAAACTTATCAATTTGATATTGTTTGAATAATTTGCTTGCTTAGCATAAGGCATATGTGAGAATCACTTAATTACAGTGAGCTAACCTTTAGCTACCAGGGACGATATGGAACAGCTTAGGAACTGAGGCAAATTTGGGGTATTTTTTAAGAGATTTATTGTGGAAACAGAATTTGTTTTTGCCAGAGCCTTTGATACAGATACTTGAACAAATTACCATGCCTCACTTATCTGCAAACAGAGATGATATTTATGTCACAAGTATTAAGCATGCACATTCTGCAACTGCATGTGGAACCCATGGGCTGGAGGAATTCAGGCACTGGGGTAAAGCAGGCAGGGCAGACAGCAGCAGACAGCAGCAGCTGCAGGAACAGAGGCTCATGCCTCAGACTAAAACTTATGCCAATCATGCTAATCCTGTGGAAAGGGAATTCTTTTACTGAAAAAGACACAAGTGCAAAGCTAGTCTTAGGGATTCCCCTTTTTATTTCATTTTTTCTACCCAGCATGATTATTCTGGTAAATCCTCCATCCCACTTCATTTCAATTGCAGGACTGATACAGCTTTCTTACTCCTCTCTTCTTTTTTGTAATTAAAAAAAAAAAGGCAGCTGCTTGGGACTGTTATTTATTAATTTAACTCCCAGCCCTTCATGAAAAAAAAACATGCACAGAAGCCAAGATCACACCTACCTAGAAGAACCTCTGAAGAAAGAGTGACATTTATGGGAGTGGCATTAACCCAATGGAATGTCTACCGAACAGTTTAGAATGATGGGAGGAAAATACAAGGATGTGTGGTGCACATATAAACAGTGTACATATATGGTATATGATTCATTACCAAATCACATGACTGCTGACAACAGATTTTCTTATGACTGCGTTTCAATTTTACACATGGCATGCTATCATAATGTACTCCCTGGTTTTCAACAGTCAGCTTAAATGATTACTATTATTATAATCTCAGCAGCAGCATAAGAACATACCCTACAACTGCATGTGATACCCTACTGTGTCATCAGGATGTTGCTCAGCTCTGTCTGCATAGGTCTTAAAAAAACTCAACCAAATCAACACCACAAAAATAAGAATCTAATACAAACAAGCTCCACCTTTGCCTTGTTAATCAGTTCAGTGCATTCTATAGAGAAACATGCAATATAAATTGTCCAAATTTTATTCAAAATCTTAGAATACATTAAAACTATTTTTATTCTGATTATTTAACTTTCTAGTAGTTACTGGGATTAAGAAACCATGTACCTAGAAAAATGACACTTGTTTTTCCACAAAACTATTTAAAGACATCTTAAAAGAAAATACAACTCCAAGAGAGTTGAAGAAGGTCACAGTGGAGAAACATGCCTTCAATTTTTTCTTAGTAGAGACTGAGTAAAAAGACCTTCAAATATTAAGTCAGAAATGTTAAATTAAAAACTAAGAACAAAATCATGAATCAAACTTCCTATCTTGTCAAAAAAGCAGTTACTGCTAGTCTTGCTTATCCTCTCTGCCTCTCTTGACCTTCTAAAATAGACTTTAAGAGCACAATTCTCAGAGGAAGATCTCTACTACTACCAAGGTATTTTTATTCTCTAATACAAAATCTTTGTAATGAACAGCATCAATTACTGAGCACAAAGTTCTACCACTGTCTTTCTGTACTGAAAGGCCACCCATTAAGGACATGCCCTTTTCAAGTAGGAAGCCATTCCTGCCATCCAAAAAACCAGATACCTTGCAGAGATAATAGATGAACTCTAAAACAGGAGACACAAAAATCCATTCTTAACCTGATGATTTATGGAGCAAGCAGAAATGCATAAAGAAAACAGTTATATTTAGCTGTACTGTCCAAGCCTGCAACAAAACCTACTTTGACATTGCTCCTTTTCGATTAAAAGGATTTTTTTTGGTAACCCTTCATTTTTTCTTGAATACATCTTTTCTTTTATTTAAAGCACAAAAATGACAACAATTAACCCGTGATACACAATTTATCATGCAGCTTCAGAGCTTTAGTGAGGGACTTCTTTTTTTGCATTGACTCAGTTTGGCTAGTCTGGCTCCCCTAGAAGCACCTGAAAAACTGCTCAGGAATATTCTGCCTCAATACTTTTAGTTTTTAAGTATTGTAGAAGAATCACAACAAAAGACAAAATAACATAAAAAAAAGATAAAATGGGTGTGAGGGAAAGTTATCAGGCAAACTACATGGGTGGCAAAAAATAAACATCTCAGAGTTTATTTTAGCATGCTAAGTTACCACTTTCTCCACCTGGGGAGTACTAATCAATGACACTCAAAAACTCAGGCAGCAGAAGAACTGAGAGAAAAACAATGAGCTGTTCAGAGGTATAATCCAACACTGAAATGCACAAATTATAATCCCACCCACCACAACTATACCTGAGATTCCTCATCTGTAAAATGGTAAACTTCCCTTCCTTCCATGAATTTGGTAAAATTGGTTCATGCTTGATCTTCCTCCCTGATGATTTTAATTCCTTTTATTACCAAATTATACAGAATTTACACTCAAAAGAAGTCCCAATAAATAAACAAACAAAAGTAATACACAGTTGCAGGCTGAAGCGCTGTCCAGCTATAGATGCACCGGTGAAAATGACAGCACTGCAACTCCTCCCTGTCCTGTGCTCAGAAACAACAGCTCCTCCCCATCTGTCAGCACAACTTCTTCTGTAATTATTCCCTAATGTAGTTCTGTCAAAGTGACCTGGTTTAGATATTAAGAATACCTGAGTTAATGTAGGCATCCTGAAATAACTGGTTTGGAGAGCAGCCACATATGCGGTATTTTCTGACACATCTAAGAGAACCGCAACTTTCAGCAGAGGACAACAAACACCTATAGGCTGGACTGGTCCAGTAGCCTCATTGTCAGGAAAAGAACATGCATTCTTAATCCTTGACCAAAGCTCCTTAGTTCAGGTCAATAAAAGTAAGCATGAAATTCAAAAGAATATTCTCAATCTAAAGCATTATTATTTGGGCACATTTGTAAACTTGATATAAACCATGCTCTCAGCCATTATATACATGTATACATATATTAAAAAGATCACACTTTGAACATTTGAGAAAATTAAACTAAAGGTACATCTGTTGTGGGGTGGGAAGGCAACAAAATAAACAAAATGTGGGCAGGTAAATATTCAATGAGTTTATAATAAATCTATTGTACATTCCCATCATCTTCCTTTCTGTCCTCACTCATGTCATGCTAAGTTAGTTTAAAGTTTACAGAATAGAATCTATAGGACCTGTTCTATATCTACCTGTTGTCTGTAAAATATATGAGAAGGCCTTGTTCTGTTAGCTGAAAGCCATGTTTACATTACTATTTTTGTTCAGAGCAGTAGTGCAATTTGGAAGCAAATCTTCTCTCCTCTGCACTATTCCTGCTTACTGTGGAATGGTTTTATTCACAGACCAGTTTTGTGATACAGAATGTGGATTCTTTATGGAGAAATAGAAACTGGAAATGGAAATGTACCAACGCATCTGTCACGCTTCAACCCCTAAGGGGGCACACAGATCCAATCAAGTAACAGCTCTGAACAGTTTCAATACATGTAGTGGCATGGATATTTGATCCTAAGAGGCACCACTAAATCTAGTCCAAAATAAAAGTGCTGCACAGTAGAATATGTAAAGGTGGGGGCCACAGCATCTACTGCTTCACTCTACTGATTTTCTCCACTTGAGCCAAATTACTACTGGAGATATTCCCCAAGTCAGAGACAGAAACCTGGAATAAATGCAAGTCTTACATGACATATGTATGCACTACAAGTGAACAGTCACCCTTCCTTAAATTGGAAACTAATTCATACACAAATGGGACCTAAATGATCCCCCATAAGCAATCAGCAATGCTTACAAGCGGTTGTATCTTCCATTTATTAAAATCTTGCAGAAGTCAATGATAAACAGTATTCAAATACTTCTTATTGTAAGTAAAATAAATGCATTCTACATTAAAAAAAAATCACCTAATAAATAGCATTACACCACACAAAAACAATTAAGTGCCATGTTTTGCTTAAAGTAGTTTTGGGAAAACAGTTATTCAAAAATATATTTGATGAGGATGTCAAAACACACCTGAAGGTTGGTGAAATGTGAACTAAAATCCTGTATGTACATATTTTATTAGAAAATACATAATTTCCATAGGATAACTTAAGGTCAAGTCAGAGTATTGCTCACTGCACTTAGCACCAGCAGTGAAATTTTAAAAACTCCTTAACACGTACACATAGATTATCAACATCTGTATCAAAAAGAATGTAAAAAACCAATATTGTATGGCTTAAGTTCAAATAGCATCATTAAGAAATTACACTAGGATACCATATAAATCCAAGAGTTCACCTTCACTGCAGCTCCATGCTGCTCCATTGACTCGAGCCTGGGAGAGCACACATAAGCCCGCTGCCACATGCTGCGGGAGCTGACTGATTTGATTAGCAGAACAGACTGATTGGATTAACAGCCGATGAATTGCTGTAAACTGAGCTGCTGCATCCTTACGGCATGACTGGCCAGAGTGTCTGTACAGTACAGGACTGGTCAT